GGGCTCTGCCTCTAGGATTCCACACCACGTGCCCCCAGCTCGGGGGCGGGAGCTGCGGCCCCTGGAGGCCCACCCCCGCCGGTGCCACACTGTACGTGCATTGCCCTCACTGCCCGTGCGGGTCCCTCCACTGCGGTTCTCGGGGGTAGGGCTCACCTAGCACTTGAGAAAAGGAAAGCTCTCCCTGGCCTCCTCACGTCCCGGGCCCCTGTCCCAAGGCCACCCTGGGCCCCTCCTGTGTCCCTTTGCGCCTCCCTCGGCTCCATGTCAGCAGGCCCGGCAGCCGTGGGTCTGGGGCGGGGGCTGACCCAGAGGGAAGGGGGCCGCCTGCTCCTGAGTCACCTGTCACTGTGTTCAGTGAGGAGACGCACGGCGTGGAAGTCCTGAGGGTCGGCTCTGGTGAGAAGGTGCTGTTTGGGGCTGTCCCTGTGGCTCTCCACCAGCTGAGGCTGCGGCCCAGGACCGGCCATGTGGCCTGGAGGGGAGGAGCACAGGGCAGCTCGGGCAGGCGGGTCTGAGGTCGGGGTGCCTTCAGTGACGGGGCGCCGGGTCTCGGGTGTGAGGAGCAGGCTGGTCCTCCCCGACCGGGAATTGGGGCACAGGCCCCCCACCCCCAGGCCCTGAGCGCTTTGCCTCTAACCAGGCTGACCCGTTTGCTCCTCACTTTCGTGTGAGTGTGAGGGACTGTGACCGCGGTGAGCCGGGCAGGATGGCCCAGAGGCCAAGACCCCGACCAGCTCGGCCGCCCCTCGCCCTGTGGGCTTCTCGCTGCGCCAGGCGCTGCACTGAGTCCTGGGAGGCGCCTGACCAGAGAAGAAGTTCCTGTTTGTGAGGCTGAACTAAACCATTTACAACTTTCTACACATAGACTAGTCCTTGTCTCAGAAGCTGCGGCTTTTGTAATTTTTTATCTTAATTTCACTGTCACCCTTGAATATTGTCTTTTGTATTGAGATGCTGGAGGAGCAGGAGATAGTGGTGCCTCATCTATTATTGCAAAAATGTAACAATAAACTTCCTCAAAGAAGACGTGTTCCTCCCGCTTTCGCGTCCACACGTGGGGGTTGCTCAGGTTGTAACGGCTGTTTGCAGAGATCGTTTCGGAGATGCCGGGTGACGGCTTTGCGGCTGCGGCACTCGCGTGCGTTTCTTGCCTTGAGTCGGGTTATGAACTCCGGGAGCAGGCGCTGGTCTGGAAGCAGGGCCCTCAGCGTGGCTGTGACGCCCGCGGGTGAGAGCGCACCGTGGGGACGGTGTCCGCGTGGGCTCCAGGCGGCCCTTCGCACCGGATCAGCACAGCTGCGAATAGCACGGCTGCGGGTGTCTGGTTTGCCGTGTGACCACCTCCGGGCTCTCGGTGTTTATTAAAATAAATCCTTAGTTTTCCTTTGCTCAGTGGAGAATACCGCTCAGCCCGGCCAGCATGCTCAGGGGCTGAGCATCTACCTGAAAACCAGGAGGTCACGGTTCGATTTCCGCTCAGGGCACCTGCCCCGGTTGCAGGCTCCACCCCCAGTGTGGGGCCTGCAGGAGGCAGCCAATTCATGATTCTCTCTCATCATTGATGTTTCTTTCTTTCTCTGAAATCAATAAAAGTACATTTAAAAAAAAAAAACACTCAGCACTCAAAACCAACATTAAGTTCAATTTCAGACCCAAAAATTCAGACAGGGCGCTGGTGCTGGTTTGCTCGCGGGCTCGCTGTGTGGTGATCACAGTTCCACTCCACGTGCTAAACAGGCCGGCCGCACGGGCGGCTGGCACAGGTGCTGCTGGGAAGGAAGGCCCCCAGGCACAGCTTCCAACGGGCAGGCGTGGCGCGACGCCCCAGGAGGTGACAGCGGGCTGCGCGGGATCCGCTGTGGAACGAGGGCGAGAGGCTGTCGGGCGTTGGCCGTTTCCCGACAGACTGAGGCGGGAGCAGCCGGGGAGGGAGATGGCCATGGTGCCTCCCGCCCAGCTGCCCTGGCCACCTGCTTCCCCTGCCCCAGCAGCTCCTCCCGTGCACCCTCGACTCCATTTCAGACAGGTGTGACCTGAGGCAGGTGGGGAGGACCGGGAGGCTGGGTCGCCCTTGTTGCTATAAGCGCAGGGGAGAGGGATGCGTGGGCTCCAGACGCACCGAGGCGCCCGGGGGCTCCTGCTCTCTGGCCTCCTGTTGGCAGGTGAGTGTGCCCCCAGGTGTTAGGACCAGGCCCCACTGACCACGGGCCACTGAGACCGGACACGCGGGGAGAACAGCACGGTGCCGAGTGTCGGTGAGCCCACAGGGACGCGCGGTGGCCTCGCTGAGGTGACAGTGACACTGTGCTCTGGGCAGAAGCTGGTACGGTGGGGGACGCGTGCAGGAGAGATGCGCTCGAGATGTGAGTAGTGTCGGGAGGCCAGGAGCCAGGGTGGCAGGGCCTGCGAGGGCAGAGGGGCCCCGGGGACGGGCCGAGAGCCCGGGACGCCAGGCCTGGCCCAGCTCCACACGACACAGCGGATTCAAGTGCTCGGGCGATGGCCTCACGGCCGCCTGGCCTTCATCACAGCGAGGGGCCAGGTGGAAACGGAGTGGACGTTCTTGGGAACTGCTTTTTAAAATAGCCCCTGCCGGCTTGTTTTCATTTGCCTCTTTGCCCAAGAAGCTGGTCTAAAAATAAACCTGTTATTCCGGGTTCTCGTTAATCAAGGTGCTCAGGCGGGGGGGGGGCGGCGTTTCTCCCGGGTTTACGGGGCTTCCGGCAGCTCTTCACGCGCAGCTTGGCGAAGCGGAGGCGTTTCCTGGCTCGTTCCCGGGTTGAGCTTTCCCGGCCCTCATTCCGAGGGCCATTCACTGGCCATAAGCTGGTTTCCTTAAGTGGGTTCCTCCGTGTTCAGCAGCCCCACTGGAGCCAGGACTAATCCAGCTCCACGAGGACCCGCGGGCCGGGGCGGGGACAGTGGCCGAGACCAGGCCTGTGCTGGCTCCCAGGCCCCCAGGCCACCCCTGGGGTCCCTGCGCCTCCCCAGGGAAGCCCTGCTC